TCATCTTTCTCCCATGGAGCAGCTGGTAGTTTCGAACTGCCAACCTTGGGGTTAGCAGCCTGATTCGTAACCACTATGCTACCAGAGCTCCAGATACATATAAACAGAAAGAAAGAGAGAGAAAGTGGTGGTGGTTATGTGCCTTGGAGTCGGAACCGATTTATAGCGACCCTGTGCAGGGTTTCCAAGGCTGTAAATCTTTACGGGAGCAGAAAGCCTCATTTTTCTCCCGTGGAACAGCTGGTAGTTTCGAACTGCTGACCTTGTGGTTTGCAGCCTGATTCGTAACCACTACGCCACATACACACATATATATAAGATGTGTTTTGTCTTATAAGATAATTGCCACAATAAAAATCATTTTATTATCTATTTCATTCAGGCCATTGAATAGATTCATTCTGGTTTGACCCCCTGTTGAGAATTTATACTTCCACCCAGATATACTGGATCATATGGGATGGAAAAATCAATTCTCAGCTGTAGGGGTCAAAATGAATGAACTGGATCATAGCCCTGATTTCATTATATGATTGAACTCATAAAGGGATATCTGCTAAAGATATAAATTTGTTAGAAAGGCAAATTTAAAAACTGTCTCCTATTACTATTGAAAAAAAATAAAAAGCCTCATAATGCTATAAACTCTTTGGTGACTCACCAGTCAGAAAAAGAATGCAACTTTGAAAATGGTAAACTCTCTGTAGAATTAAACCCTCAAACATAAATGATTATTGAACTTGAAATATCAATAAAGTTGTCAAACATATGCAGCAGTTTAAAAACACACATTTCAAAAGTGAAAACAATAAAGGTGATTTTGAAAAATTACCATTGCTCCTGAAAAAAATCCTATATTTTTTCTACTAAAGTAAAGTCATGTTCATGTGACAAATACCAATAGGTTAAATGTAAGGACCTGCTACTCAGGTCTGTCCGTTTATCCTACTGTGGTGGCTTACATTTTGCTATGATACTGGAAACAATACCACCAATATAATAAATACTAACAAGGTCACCCACGTGGACAGGCTTCAATGGAGTTTCCACACTAAGGCACACTCAAGAGAAAGGCATGAAGACCTACTTCTGAAAATCCAACAGTGAAAACCCTATGGTTTCATAACAAAACACTGTCAGAGTTATGAAAGATGAGTCCCTAGGCAGGAAGGCACACAGAACACACATTGGCAGCGGCAGCAGCAAGGGGATCAGTCACACCAATGACTGTGGAGATGGCACAGGGCTGGACAATGCTTTTACTCTGTTGTATCAGGGCCCACCATGATTCTGGAAGCTATGCCATGGGTATTTAAAATACCAGCAGGGTCACCCACGGTGGACAGATTTCAGATAAGCTTCCAGACGAAGACAGACTAGAAAGAAGGAGAGATGAACTACTTCCGAATATTTAGTCACTGAAAACCTTCTGAATAGCAGAGAAACAGTGTCAGATATAGTTCTAGAAAGTGAGCCCCTTAGGTTGGAAGGCACTCAAACTATGACTGGGGAAGAACTGTCTTCTTGAAGGAGAGTTGACTGTGATGATGCGAATGGAGTAAAGCCCTTGGGAGTAAAGCCCATGCGTGGGACCTTCATTTGCTGTTGGGGCACAACTCAAAATGAAAAAAAAAATAGCTATAAACATCCATTAGTAATCAGAACACAGAATGTACAAATTATGAATCAAGGAAAACTGGAAATTGTCCAAAGTGAAATGGAATGCATAAACACTGATATCTTAGGCATCAGTGAGCTGAAATGGACTGGTATTAGGCATTTAGAATCCGACAATCACATGGTTTACTATGCCGGGAATAGCAAATTGAAAAGGAATGGTACTGCATTCATAGTCAAAAAGAGCATATCAAGATCTGTCATGAGATAAAACAGAGTCTGTGACAGGATAATATCCATGCACCTATAGGGAAGACCAGTTAATACCACTATTATTCCAGTTTACAAACCAACTACTAAAGCCAGTGAGGATGAAATAGAAGAATTCTACCAACTTCTTCAATTTGAAATTGAAAAAAACATGCAATCAAGATGTCTTGATCATTACTGGTGATTGGAATGTAAAGGCTGGAAACAAAGAGGAAGGATCAGTAGTTGGAAAAGATGTCCTTGGTGAAAGAAATGATGCTGGAGATCACATGACAGAATTCTGAAAAACCAATGATTTGTTCATTTCAAATATATATTTTTTAAATAGACCTCACCAGATGGATTACACAGAAATCAAACTGACTACATCTCTGGAAAGAGACGGTGGCAAAGCTCCATATAATCAGCCAAAACAAGGCTAGAGGCAGACTGTGTAACAGACCAGCAATTGCTCATATGCAAAATCAGACAGATGCTGAAAAAAAAAGAAAAGAAGTCCACTAGAGCAAAAATATGACTTTGAATATATCCCACCTGAATTTAGAGATCATCTGAAGAACAGATTTGATGCATTGGACACCAAAGACCAAAGACCAGAAGAGTTGTGGGATGACATCAAGAACATCATACAGGAAGAAAGCAAATAGTCATTAAGAAGACAAGAAAGAAGGAAAAGATCAAAATGGATGCCAAAAGATACTCTGAAACTTGCTCTCCAGTGTAGAGATGCTAAGCAAATGGAAGAAATGAGGAGGTGCAAGAGCTGAACAAAAAATTTCAAAAGTCAGCTTGAGAAGACAAAGTCAAATATTATAACGAAATTGCAACGATCTGGAGTTAGAAAACCAAAAGGGAAGAACACG